ACCGTGGGCTGCGGCTGCGCTGTGCACCCGGACACAAGAGCTGGCCTCTCTGTTCTGCTTAACCTTGTCATTTTGCCCTTTCCATTGGACTAGTATTATTAATTAACGTGATCGTTTGTTGGGAAAGAAAAAAAAATCTGCCCCTATGCGTGCGTGCGTGTGTGTGTGTGTGTGTGTGTGTGTGTGTGTGTGTGGTGGGAGTGCGGCGTTTTATTAGAAACAAATTTCGGATCCCGTTTGAAAAAAATGTAAGTTTCCATTTAATACAGAGTTTGCCTCTCAAGTGTATAAACCCCTAACTACATTTACAGGAGTGAAACGTGCCCTGTGTGGTCAGATTTCTGTATTTTTTTTACCCCCCCTCCCCAATGAATGGTGTCTTTGGGGATAACTCTGTCAGCAATATTTGCCTTGTTGCGTTTTCACTTATAAACTTTCAGATAATTTACTGGAACCTATTTAGTGAGGGAGAGGAGAAAAAAATTTGTGGACATTGTTGATGGTGCACGTCAGAGTTTATGAAACTGTACAGTTAAGTTAGTCCCATATGTCACCTTTCCTGTCTGTTGGCATGTGTGTTGTAACCCAAGCATTTCTGCAAGTGCCTTTTGACAAATGCCAAGGACTGTGGAAGAGTGGATCGTACCATAGCCAATTTTTCATTTTTCTTTGGTAAGAGTTTATTTGCTGTAACATGGTCAGGTGATTCAGATTATGAATTTTCAGAATGGCTTGGGAAAAAAATTTTCAAAAAATTGAAAACTAACGATTTTTCAAGTCGTTAGTTTTGGGTGGCATTATACTTTAAAACACACTTTTCTAAGTGTGTTTTAAACATCTTGATAAACATCTTGAATAATCTTATCATTGATACTTGTTTTAGTTTTCAAATCTTTTCCCATTTCTGTTTTTGATTGGGATTCTTTCTTTGGTCTGATTTTTCTTAATGTGCTCAACCATGGTCACTACTTACAATAGTTTTAACAGTAAGCAATGTATTATGTTGTCTCTTTTGCTTTCAATACCTGTAACTAGTTGGGATGATTTTTTTTTCTCAAAAAGTCTCTCCAGGTAAAATGTTGTTTACTTTTACTTTTACTGTTAATATATTTCCTTTTTCTCCAAACTTTCAAAGTAGGTTGAAAATACCTCCCCCGCTTTTTTTCTTTTGCCCCTTCAAAACTGAAACTGTCCTGTATAGACTTTGAATGGGTGGGGGCAAAAATCAATCATTCTAACTAAATTATTTATTTTAGAGAGAATACTATAAGCAGGAACATTACAGAATTTTATCACATCCTAAATTTGCATTTTATTTCTTTCACTTGTGCAGTGACATAGTAAGTTCATTTCTGGGACAACTCATGGTTTGCTGAGAATGGTTTCCTGTTATATAACTGTCTGGGAACATGGCATTGGTACAACTGAATTTCATGTTTTGAGTAGACTTTGTAGCTAGTTGTCAGACTGGAATCCCAGTTTATATGGTGACCATGACTGTTTTATGG